GAGTCCCACGTACAGCAACTAGAAGGATGTGAACCTATGACGTACAACTATCTACTGGGGCTTTGGGGGGAAAAACTGAATAAATAAAATCTTTAAAAAAAAAAAAAAAAAGAAACTATTTGTTTAGTTTTGATGGCTTAACCACTCCCTATGAAGAGTTAATTGAGGGTTATTGGCACTACAGTCAAGAAATGTATGCCCATTTGATCTTAATTTCCCCTGTATTCTACTTAAACAAATTTAAAATATTCTGCCACCTTGTACACCCCAAGGTCTAGGAGCATTAGGACTTGTCAGTCATAAAGAAAACTTGAGACATCAGCTATGAATACCAGCACTATTAAGTTTTTGTTCTTTTTTCAGGAATGTAAGAATGTACACTTATTGGATCCTGGTAATTCTTGAAGGAAGGCTTCAAGTTGTAATTTTTTGCAGGGGATATTAAGCCCTTAATATCTTGTGTAATCACAACTACTGAAAATTTAGTCTGGAGCACACCTGTGCTAAAACTGGTTTTATGACTAACCCTGACCACATGGAACCAGAGCCTCTGCTATAAGCCCATACAGTGAAGAAAGTTGCACATTTTATTCCAAACAAGTATTGGTTTGTCTAGTATCTTTATAGCCTTACTGTTGAAGTGATTCTCAGCTAAACATTATGTCTGTTGTAACTTTGATAAGTATTTCCACTTTTGTTATTTATTAGTGGTATTTTTTTTAAGTGTCAAATCTTGTGACTATTTAAAATAAAATATCATTGTAATTTAAAGTGACAACGTGTATGAGAATTCCTTGAATAACATTTTAAAGATAAAGGTTTGATTTTAAATCAGATTAAAGAATTCATAAGCAAGGTAAGTTTGCTATAACTGAACACTTGGTCCCACCCTTTCCAAATATTTTACTCCCTTGGAGTGTTTTCATGACTTTAAAAATGATGAAATGGATCACAAATCATCAAATTTAAAAACCCAAACATTGAAACTGAGTTTTTTATTCTACTCTTACCAAGTTTTCTTCTGAGTCTCGAAAACATTACGTGTCCTACAACATGAGAGAAAATATAAGCCAAGATCATGTGATAAAACGTGTTCAAGCACCACAGAAATTCCAAAGAGATTTCTGAAAACTAAAGAAGGTTAAGTTTAGTTCCAATCAGGGTAATGGAGATGTCTGTTCAGTTTCCTGGTCATTCAAATAGGATTAACATTGCATTAGATCAACAAACTTTCACATCCACACGTGTAGACAAGGGAGAAAGGGCTTCTGAGGCCCAGCGTGCCAGTCTCCTCCCTGAGTGGGACCTGGGCAGGAGGACAGCATGCTGCACCACCTCGCGTACCTCAGCTGACCTCTGATAACGGTTTTCCACCTAGAGTACACCATCTTTTTCCACAGTGAAGATCACATGGGATGAGTCTTCTAATTCATGAAAAACAGCCCAAAATATTAGTAATTTGGGAAGTTTTATTTATTTGGAAGAGGGTTTTCCTTTCAAGGGAATTTTTCTGCAAGACCAAGCAAATTACGTACTTCTCTTTGGTAAATTACAGTTCACACTGGCACAGTAAACACACGGTAACTAATCTACTCTGTTCAGTTTTATTCTCACAAATCCAGTTAAGCCTTCGTTTTATTTCTAAAAGTTTTAGGAAGGTCTAGGCTATCAGTTATAAAAATGAAAACCAGTTAGAATTCTAAATATAAACAGATTATTTACATTAGTTTATAAAAATAGATTTTAGGAAAAGTTAAACAACTAGTAATTTTCACTTCAGTTCATTAGGCATAATAACTTGCTTGATTTTCAAGGCTGACCCTGTTTCCTTGGTTAGCAGTGTCAATTTTGGCCTTCCAGGAGGGGCAATTTAAGGATTTAAATTTAACTGATCTCTAATGTTTCCAAGTAGGTAAGTTACTAACTAAAAGAAATTAATCTTTATATGTAAATCACTGATAGCTTAAAAAAGTAGTGTTCTAACCTTTCCAAAGATTCCTGATGCCAATATTATACTACATAAATTTGCTTTCTAGCTTAAGGTAATGATACTTTTGTTCCTTTAAAAACTTACTGTTATAGCTGTAAGTGGTCTGGGGAAAACCTACCTACACTTTGATCAGGGGGTTCCTGGACTAGCAGATAAGGTGAGTTGATCTAACACATCTGGAACTAATTGGTAAACGTATAAAAGGTTCAAAATCCAATACAGTCATCAAAGCAACTAAATGACATTTATTAGGAAAAGAATTAAAAACCTTTTTTTCTAAAGAAGGCGTTTAAAAAAAAATTTACTATTTTGCTCTTTTCATATTTGGGCAAAACAACTTCATAGGGCAGCCCCCTTAAGTGAGTCCCATAAAACAGTGGTTCCCAAATTCACTGGGGTGAAATGAGAAAAATAAGGACAATATAGTATTTTTTCAAAAAGCTACATTTATTCCATTTAAAGGACTATTTCTTGTTCTGAATTTGTCCTTTTATGAAAAAAAGGTGATGATAATACAGTGATTTCTTTCAGATTACTTGGCAAAATAAATTGGCAACCCTGTCAGCCCCCCAAATTTTAGGAAATATTACTGGTCCATGAATCCAAAAGTCTGGGAACCACTGCCCTGAAAAAAGAGTAGTTTTGCAGGCTGTTAACAACTGTTAAATGGAGAAAAGCTGCTGTGGTCAAGTTTTTGGGAAATGATACTATAGAATTTCACATGGTTATGTGAATGGCACGTATACCCCATTCCCCAAACTTGGACCACTAAACACATTCAGACCCACTGTTAATTGGAAAGACATAAAAATCTGAAGCGAACAATTCCTCTGACTTTGGAATTGTAACAATTTTCTTCAAATGGACTTGACATTTGCATTTCAACAGAGTCTGGCCTATGACTTAGCTGAAGCTAAGGAAATAGTATAATCAGCAACATTATCAATATTAAACTTTTAATATCAAATACATTTTTGTACATCGTTACTAATTTATATCATTATAAAACAAACTTCAAAAGCTCCATAAAATCAGTAAGGTAAAAGCCCTTACTGAATATTATATAAACTTTAGATGTTACCAGGCTTGATTTCAGGAAAAGTCATTGGTTTTTGATACAAATTATCTACAAAACAATGTGGTATAAATGATATTTGAATTTTACAATAATGTGGCTACCGTTTGCCCACTACTCTTTCATAGGTATCAGATCTTTAGAGTTCATTTCCATTGACACATTTCTGCTGTTGAAGCCTGGTTCTTCTCAAAGACTCGAGCTGCTTTGCTCGTAGCCACCGTTCTCTTGACAGCGTTGTCTGACCAGCACTGAGAGACAGAAACCTGGTTTGAAATACAGAAACAAATTTAAGTCTAGGCCTAGAATAATACCTTTTCCTTTCTTTCTTTTTTTTTTTTTTAAGACCTAGGAATACTGGGTTAGGAGACAAGACTATCTGGCAGCTACACACAAGTCAAGAGCCAAGTTAGGGGCCAGCCCCGTGGCTTAGCGGTTAAGTGCGTGCTCTCCGCTGCCGGCGGCCCGGGTTCGGATCCCGGGTGCGCACCGAGGCACCACTCCTCCAGCCATGCTGAGGCCGCATCCCACATACAGCAACTGGAAGGATGTGCAGCTATGACAGACAACTATGTACTGGGGCTTTGGGGGAAAAATAAATAAATAAAATCTTTAAAAAAAAAAAAAAGAGCCAAGTTAGACTTCTACAAAGGAATCTTTTAAGAGTCAAATTTGGAGGGTGACTCACTCTTTGAAGCTTAAAGAACAAGAAGCATGCCTGTTCCACTGGAGTGATCACTGGCCAAACACACTTCCCCCTCAATGGGCCATTTCACAAGGTGTTTTTAAAAGGAAAAAGTTCATTTCCACTTTTAGAAGTCTGCCTCAGTTATTCCAGCACTTACACACAGCTTACTGACAAAGCAATTATGGACATGTACCACTCACCGAGCCACAATGAGCAACTGGTGGAGATCGTCAGCAGTGATGCTCTGAGGATCGTTCTTGCGCATTTCCACGAAGTCATCTTCAACTGCCTTTATCAAAAGAGTAAACCGACTTACGAACTCTTCCTTATGAGGAAATGACAACTGCATTTTGTAGGGAAAAGTAACATGGTCCCTTGACTGATGTAAAAATGAGGAAGTCAGCCCTGCCTCTTAGACAAATGAGACAATATGGGTGAAAGGACTGAGGACCAAACTTTACACATATAAATACTACTACTGATGAAAGTATTCTAAACAAAAGAACAAAACTCAGATTCATTTGAGAAGGCCAGGCAAACAGATACCAGTCAGCAACTTGCACAGCAAACGTGATGCCTTTAAACACGAGGAAGAGTGACGTCAGGGAGAACAGCAGCGTAAGGACCTCTGAACTTCTCTCCACCAGTAAAGGGAACAAGAACACTAGCAAAAGTTAT